CTCGACTCTCCCGCGCTGGCACATCCTAACTAACCACATCTAACCATACTACAACTCATGTTAGTCATACTACATTTGTTGAAATACTAACAGGGCTGCAGCATGTGGGACACTCCACTTTGTTACAACTACAGAAGCTTCTATGGTCAGTAACACGACAGAGTCGACACTGAACCCCACTCTGTGATGTCACCACTGTGTCCTGGTTGTGCATTGACATCACTCTAATAAATATGTTGTAGAAAGTAAAGAGAATTGTTCTGTGTAACTGCATTAAAGAAAATATTATACATCAATTTCACACAAAGAAAATACCACATAACAGAAATTGCATTTAATATAATAATTTCCCTATTAAAATGATTCAATTATCAAATAATATATTTGTTTTCATGGTTATTTTTGATTTTATTATATTAACCACAATCCTTGTGAATTATATGTGCTTTATATGCACATCTGTAACCAAATTAAACGTCACATATGCAATTATAAATCAAAATACACGTGAATTTCATGTGGTGTCGACCATCTTGAAAATTGGCGGCCATATTGAATTTTCCATGTGGCTAACGTGCTTTTCTGAAAAAGGAAGTCATCAGCTACATCCCGGCCAAATTTGGTGCTTGTACGATTCTTCTAAAATACTGACTTAACAAATACAAGAGACTGATGAAAGAACACGGTTAGAACAGTTAAAGCTCATGAATGTTGATTTCACAGGATCTGTCGCCTTTAAAACAGGCTCCAGCTGGATTTCAGAAAGTACAAACCCAAAGAACTCACCGTGTTCAGGTCTGTGCGGGCGAGCGCAGGTCTCACATGTGAAACATCGAGTCCTCCTCTGATCTGAGACCAGCCACATCCTGTCACGTGAGTCTGACAGACTTTGCCCCAACTTCCTGTTTTGAATTAAAGTTAACGTCTGTGTGGAGCAGGAAGTCAAACCTCGAACACCAAAAGAACAAATGTGCCATTTACCAGCCTATTTCTTTGTGTAAAAAGTTTTCCCGGCTGAAAAGACAACTTTTATTGAACATCTTGCACTTTGATCACACCAAGAACTACAAAAATAAAATAAAATAAAATAGAATTAGTTCATATAGTGAGTAATCGTGACCCTTTTAAACCTCTTACATCAGGAGTGTCCAAACTCTTTTCATCAAGGGCCACATTTCTAAACACAGATGAAGCAGAGGGACGATCGAGGACCATAGACTGGAGCTCAGTGCAGTGAATAACTGAAATATGTGCAGGTTTAACACGTTAACATGAGTCTTTATTCACACTAAGATCCTTAAAACACAAACTAAATATTAAATATTCACTTTATCAAGGTCGATTTTCAAGAAACTTGTAGTAAAAAGTTCATTTTTCATTGATACAAGGTCATTTGGGCCAATTCACCTGGAAGCCTGAGGGCCAAGAAACATTTGTCTGAGGGCCGCATTTGGCCCACGGGCCATAGTTTGGACGTGCCTGTCTTACTGTTTTTATTTACCCTTCTTAATTGCCTTTGCCCTTAAATAATTTCTCCTTATTTATGACCAGTGTTGGGAATAACGGTGTTTCAGTAAAACATTTTCAGTAACGTAGTTCGTCTTAATTACTCTCCCCATCGTTACAACGCCGTCTTCGTTACCGGGAAAGAAAAGTGACACGTTACATTTGGGTTGAATGAGGCGTCGCGGCGTCGGGGCGGAGTCTCTGCTCACGCTGCCGTGTTGTTTCTTTCCCGCAGACTTCAGCTCAACGACACAAACTCAACGAGAAACAACGAGGAGCCAGGGACATTCACACTGTTTCTCCCTCACTGAAATAAAGGACCAGAAGGTGGATGTGAAGAGGAACTGTGCCCTGGAACCAAATTCTGTCACTGGAATCTAATGAAGCTCCTCACATCGTCACATTTAAGTCGTCTGTGGTGTTGAGGCCGAGCCCCGGCGCTCTGAGCCTGAGCTCAGCCCACATGGAGACGGAGCCACTGCATTAAAGACAAACTCCATTTTTCAATTCAGCAACAAGTGACTGAACAGAACTCAACTCGACAGGATCATTGTGAGGTGTGTAGTTGAAAACCTGCTGCCTCTGACCACTGTGGAGTCTGAGTCATTTAGAGCTCTTGTTGCAAATATTCCAACAGGAGGAAGAGGAGAAGCTGAAATCTCCAGTTTTGATTCTTCATTCAGTTACATAACATGAAAAATAACCTCTACCTTTGAGTGATTAATACTTGTTATTAGAGATGTCACGATCATGGGTCCAGTCAAGTGGAAACGGAGGAAACAGGGGCAGATTTTTGACTTTCAAATGTCTCTTCTTCAGAAACTAGAGGAACTATTGAAATAAGTAAAGTATCAGAATGTAGGAAAGAGTTACACTCCAACAGGGTCAAGTTAAACCTGTGAGATTCTTTCAAGTTCAAGACAAAAAATGTAAAAACTCATGTCGGTAACGGAGGGAATGAAATATGCAGCACTTTTTGGTCAATAAATCCAAACAGTGATAACTCTTGGTTCTCACTTCCATATCCTTAACAAACTGGTTTGAATATTTGCTTCATATAGTTTTCTACCATATGGTACAAGATTAGGTTGAAAAACCTCTGACTTTTTGACTCATGAGATTTTTTATTAAGAAAGTTCATGGTAACGGAGGGAAAAGTAACGGAGGGAAAATTGTACAAACAAGTAGAAGGTGCAGGATTTTACATCATTTGTGGCTTTTTTCTTCTGAAAACTTTAATATTACTTCAAAATGAAAGAAACTATTTCTATAAAATATGTCAGTCCTTCCAAGAACATTTTTATCATTTTAAATACTTTTTTTTTTTTAAATCCTGTCCCTTCATCAACAGTTCAAAGATGGAATAACACAAGATATGATGAAATACAAACATTTATTTACATGATTTTTGGGTCTTTGAAATTTGGGAAATAATTTTTGTTCCATGTTTCATTCATGGTCTGTTTAAAACAGATGGAACTTTAGAACCAAAAATGGAACAGAAAAAAGGTCAACAGTTTGATAAACTAGAGTACATATGTATCTGTTCAATACACTTTTATATCACATGAATTAACCTGAAGTTTTGGACTTGTTGTTTACTTCTACTTGACCAGGACCATATGTTTTTTTGTCCCCAAGTCCGAGTCCTTTGATTTTGAGTATTTGTCGATACCGAGTCCTGATCCGATACTTGTGTAAAACATCATGAAATGAACTAAGAGCAAAGAATCAGATCCAGGATGTTTGAGGATCAGATTGTGTTGATTTCATGTGTCGTATTTGGGCTGAACTTGTAAAAAATCAAATGTCCAAAACTTTAATTTATTCACTTTTCTAAACATGAACCAAACTCTAAACATGAAGCATCAGTGTTGAAGATCTGGACTTTTCAGTCAGTCTTGGAATGTGTCACTTATTAAACTTAGGTCGTTTTCAACCGCTAGTTCGAATTTGGTTCGCACAGGCAAAAATGAACAAAACACTCCAGAACCGGCAAACGACCAAAACTGGTTCGACACGTGTCTCTGTTTCCCCGGTAAAACAGATACCAGACCAGATGTTCCTGTTAAAACCAGACCAAATTATCACCAGAACCATAAAACAGAACATGTAGAACTTTGTACAAACCAGACAGAAAGAGTTCAAACAGACAGCCAACAGCTCCTCAGACCTGGGGTCTGGTCCTTGGTCCTTGGTCTGTTACAAGAGATGGTCCAGGCCTGTCCTCACTGGTTCCAGGTGGTGACAAGACCAGTGCCAATGACCAGAGACCAGACCGTGCGGGAGTGAGACCACAGACACTGAAGAACCAGGCTGGTTCCGAGGTGGTGCACATCAGACAGAAGCGTGAGTCCAGAATGTTGTTCTGAGCGTCCGTCTTCTGCGCAGGTTCTTCCCGGGAAAGCCAGAGGTCAGGCCCCGCTCCAGCCCTCTGACCCGGAGAACCAGACCAGACCACCAGACAGGGACAGGACCAGACCAGAACCAGACCAGACCAGACCAGAGACCAGACCAGACCAGAAGATAGAACCAGACCAGACCAGACCAGACCAGAACCAGACCAGACCAGAACCAGACCAGACCAGGGACCAGACCAGACCAGATTGGGACTGAGACCTGGACCAGAATAAAGGAGAGGGGGACAGAGTCTGGTGCACTTCCTGCTCTGTGGAGTTTATTCTGGCCTCTGGCTCGTGTTGCTCTTGTATAACATCGTCTCGTTTCCCACGGCAACAGTGAGTGTTCCTCCATGTTAAAAGTTCACGTCTGTTTCTGTTTTATTCGTCACTGTCAGAACACGGCCCCTGATTGGTTGGTGTGACGGGAATATTTGCAGAAAGTTCAACATTTTCAACTTTCCTTCAAATTTCAGGAGCCCCTCCCTTTTGGGAATTTGCGCATCAATGCCAGTTTTGTAAATCATGTCGCTCAAAATGCTCAAAACGAGTAAATCGCGACGCTCAACTCACGTCATTCACGCCACAGAACTTTATTCACACATCAACACGTCTTTACAAAGAGTTAACATCTAAATCATTCGTCTTGTTCGTGTCAGACGGGTTCAGTCTGAACATAGTTTAAGAGCGACTGAGTTTGAGAGAAACACATGAACATGAAGCTGAGGCAGGAGTGGGTGTGGTCAACTTTTCTCTTATTATTTTCCCAAGAAACACAAAGTGAATTTAATCAAGTACAATGGAGAATCACAGGAGCAGCAGAAATCACCGTACAAAAGCACAAAGCTCCATCATTAACATGATCTGTTTAAAACTTTAACGTTAAAATCCAATAAAAAATAACCATAGATAAAATTCAGAAAACAAAAGATAAACACGAGAACCAAACACCTAAAAAAAAAAAAAAAAACGACACACAAAACCCAAGTTTAAATCCAGTTCCAAGACAAAGTGAGTTTAAAGTCGTACAGACTGATGCAGTGATCATGAGTCAAACAGCAGTTGGATTAAACATCACAATAATGATTTAATCCTTTTCTTAAACGGATCCAGCACCAGGTCATTTCAACACTGAAGTGGGCGTGACCAGATTCACCACAAATATTTATGGAATTATGTTCATTGTTCACACTAAAGCAGCAGAACGTCCACAGTGCACCAGCTCTAGTGGACTGGTTATTTTAGTTTGAAGTTTTTATTAAAAGCTGTAACTCTTTGTTGAGTTCTGGGTAATAATGGTGTTAAAACAGGTTTTAGGGCCTTTTTGGATTTATGCCTCTGGTCCTTGGAAACCCTTGAAACACCACTGAGCCTGTTTCTCACTTCACTGGACAATTTAGTGATCACAAACACAGACTCTACTCTTCATCTGAACGGTCTCCGGTCGTGAGGCTCCTGTGGACCTGCGAGTCGCTGCTGAAGTGATTCTCTCTGAGCTCGTCCAGGACTCGGCTGAACTTCTCTCTGGCCTCAGAAAGCTCCGTGTCTCCAGGGAAACCCGTGAGGACGGGCGCTCTGGTTTCTGAGCTCAGATGTTCTGACTGTGCCCCGTCCAGTTCTGTTTGTAACCGAACCAAAGCCCCGATGACGGTGTCCAGTTCGGTCCGGAGAGAATCCACCATTTGATGAATTTCTGCTGTTGTTGCTCTGAAGCTCCGATGGATGTCGTCACATTCAGGTGGATAACGTGGAGAGTAAAAGTAGTATCCTGCAGCAGCAGCAGCGCTCAGGCCCAGACTGAGGCCTTTGGTGGACGGAGCCGCTATGATCCCACACACAGCTGCAGCTCCACACACGACTGTGCCTAAAGTTTGGTGTGTGCGGTTCTGACGCAGACGCTGGTCTCGGTCCGAGTCCAGTCTTCCCACTCGGCTGATGAGGTTCTCCAGACGGCTCCTCTGACGGTTGAACTCTTCGATGAAATCAGAGGAGGTGTGAGCCAGGGCTCTGTGGGCTGCACTCGGCTCCATGTTTAGATCTGAACAGGAAAAGGTCAAAGGGCGACTGAACACAGCGACCGACACACGAGCGACACACGACACACGACACACGACCTTTTGAAACAGTCACACCTCTGTCACAGTCACAGTCACATATTCCACATGTGTGAAATGTAAATGTGTGTCCTGAGTTACCTGCTGTTTCCTCCGCTGCAGTCGCTCTGAGCGCGCTCAGTCAAGAGCTGCTCCTAAAATAGAACCATGATGAAACGTCACTGTGCTCAGTCCAGTTTGGTCACATTAGTTTCTTAATGAAGTAATGACAAGAACATGTGGAAGAGACTGGAGAACATCTGTGCTGTTACAGTTTGGACATTTAACTGGGCCAGTAGGTGGCAGTGCAGCGCACACTGTGTGAGTGAGTTTGGCTTTGGCCTGGTCTGTATGTGCATGTGTTTAGGGCCTGGTGCACACTTCATTCATTCATTCACACTGTGAGAAGTGAAATGGTGGTTGATATTTTCCTTTTGTCATTTATTGTTGCCTTTTGACATAAATATCTAAACCAGAAATCTTCAACGTTTTTCACGTCAGGGACGAAGTGTAAATCTGATCTGTGTGACGCAAACTGAGAGAATCTGAGAGGAAATAAAACCTGTTTGAGAAACTCAGGAAAACTGTGTGACAGTGTTTGTGTGATCAGGTCTGTGTGTGTGTGATCAGGTCTGTGTTTGTGTGATCAGGTGTGTGTGTGTGATCAGGTGTGTGTGTTTGTGTGATCAGGTGTGTGTGTGATCAGGTGTGTGTGTGTGATCAGGTGTGTGTGTGTGTGATCAGGTGTGTGTGTTGTGTGATCAGGTGTGTGTGTGTGATCAGGTGTGTGTTTGTGTGATCAGGTGTGTGTGTGTGTGATCAGGTGTGTGTGTTTGTGTGATCAGGTGTGTGTGTGATCAGGTGTGTGTGTGTGTGATCAGGTGTGTGTGTGTGTGTGTGTATCAGGTGTGTGTTTGTGTGTAGTAGTATAGTAGTAGTAGTAGTAGTAGTAGTAGTAGTAGTATTTTAGTAGTAGTAGTAGTAGTAGTAGTAGTAGTAGTAGTTTGTAGTAGTAGTAGTAGTAGTAGTAGTAGTAGTAGTAGTAGTTAGTAGTAGTAGTAGTAGTAGTAGTAGTAGTAGTAGTAGTAGTAGTAGTAGTAGTAGTAGTAGTAGTAGTAGTAGTAGTAGTAGTAGTAGTAGTAGTAGTAGTAGTAGTAGTAGTAGTAGTAGTAGTAGTAGTAGTAGTAGTAGTAGTAGTAGTAGTAGTAGTAGTAGTAGTAGTAGTAGTAGTAGTAGTAGTAGTAGTAGTAGTAGTAGTAGTAGTAGTAGTAGTAGTAGTAGTAGTAGTAGTAGTAGTAGTAGTAGTAGTAGTAGTAGTAGTAGTAGTAGTAGTAGTAGTAGTAGTAGTAGTAGTAGTAGTACATGTCAAAAACCTTTAAATTAAACAAATATATGTAATAATGAAATTAAATTTACATTTTACATTTGTAATTTGATTTATTTGTATTTTATTTCATTTACTTCAATTATAATTTATTAATTAATTTTACAGATGAATTTAAATAGTTACAATTTTAAACTGAAATATTATTTATTTTTAATACAATTTTAAACGAGTTATATGAAATAAATTTAATATTTTATTATTTTCAGTCACATTTTAATGAATTAATAAATAGTTTTTAATTGCTTAATAATATATTTTTTAAATTCGTGCTACTTAAACTTAGTACATTTTACACCATAAATCAGATTATATTTAAACAATCAAATGATTCAATTATTCAATTTAACTTTTAACATTTTAAGAACTTCAATTGAATTTATTGATTAATTTACTTTTTAACTTCAAATTGTGACATTTGATCAAATAAATCATCCAACTGTATTTAAATCTAACTAAGTCTTCTCATTTGAAATGAAACAGAAGATTCATTTTATGTAGAAATTAAAGACAGATTATTTGGACTTGGGTTTTCCTGTTTGAACTAAACTTCTAAACTCATTTGACAGATAAATCTCTTCACACGTGTCTCTGTTTTCTTCAGATTCTGTTTTGGTTTGTGTCTGTTCACCTGGACCGAGTGAAACGAGCAGAGACAAACCGACTCACCTGGATTTCTGCTGCCCTCTGCTGGACACACCACCAATAAACTCATCAACCAATCAAAAGAGGAAGGAGGAGAACGAGCTCAGGAGCTGAAGACCAGGAGCAGAGGGACTGGGCTTTTTCACACCATCAACAACTTTTATCAACATTTTCAAAGTGCAAATGTTACGGTTTAGTTTGTTTGTGTTTGTGTTTGTGTTTGTGTGGTTCTGATTTCTCTGATGTTCAAATGGACCAGACTCTGTTGTGCTGTAAAAGAATCTCAAATGTTTGACTCTCCTCAAATAAACATCAGTGAAATGAAACGTGTGGTTTTGTTCAGACAAATGTTCAGCTGTGAATTTGTGTCGTCGAAATGAATCAAGAATCAAACTTTTTCTGGATCTTTGGACAAAATCAAACAAAACCCAGATCCAGACTCTGTGCTGCCCTCGTGTGGTCACATCTGGAACTGCTCCTCTTGTTTCTCCTTTGGGTTTTTGCTCGTGTTTCCGGGGGATTTTACATTAAACCTTTGGTAGATTTGGCTTCAGTTTGACGTTTCAGAACATCATTTAAACTTTC